GTCATGTGCTTGGGTGACCTCCAATCCGATCCCGTATGGTGAGCAAATCCAGCAAGGTGCAATCTGTTACACGTATCTCAGTTTGTGCGGAATGCGCGAGTGACACGTTGAAGGAATTTATCAAAACGTGAGGCAGGCACTGTAACCGTTGGCATTCGCTAACGTCCAAGAAGCGGAGATGTTCCGAAGGGCGGAAATTTTGGCTCGACGCCCTCCATCAAATGGGCTGTTCTCAAGTACAGGCGTATGAGCACAATTGCGTTCTTGTCTGAGGTCGTCAGAGAGGAGCGGCGGCCTGAGGCATTCAGTTCCCGCAAGGTTAATTGACTGTGATTAGTTGGATTTAACCGTTGACGAGCATCAATCCATCCAGCGTCCGTCACCCGCGTGGAATACATGCGAAGACAGTGTAAATTTGGAAGAGCAAGCATGTCACGAATATTGCGATCACAAGTGGCCCACGGGATGATGAGACGTGGCATTCGTACTTCCCGTTCAGACTGAGCCCCATCAAATGAGGCCAACGCGAAATGAGGCAACACACCATATCATTCGTAACCAGCGGATAGTAGCTCAGATCCAGGGAGGTACAATGAACAATGATTTATCACGAGATATAAGCAAGTGCTTGACATATCCCGTAGGATGGTAGCGGTGAATATGATGCAATTAAAATATGTGTGGGTCATCTATCGAACGTCTGCCGAGATGAATACTTGAATAATTAACATCAGTGTAAAAGGAAAAAGAAATATCGTGCGTAAACATTCAGAAAGACAGTGGGGCGCTGTGATAGTTGAGGTAAGGAGTGAGAAAATAAAATATGGTCGCTCACTTAGGTCCATTTGATACATTAGTCCTGTTGAAAACATGCTTGGCGTAATCCACAACAGAGGAGCTTAGGTAACAAAATGTTGGGAGCTGAGGGCAACATCTAATCGTTTTTTGAAAACATCCAAGGTGGGAGAGGATACCACTGAGTCTGGGAGTGCGTTCCAGGGTTGGTAAACCCGAAGGGAAAAGTAATTCCGTCGACACTCTAGACGGCTATATTGTTCCTTCAACTTTAAGCAGTTACCCCTGAGCTGCGTGTTGTGGCTAAGTTTCAGCAAATGGCGGCATACGTGGTTGGGGTCACTCAATATTTGATACGCTAATATGAGATCGCCGCGCAGCCTTCGATAGCGTCCGCTGAAAATTCCCAGCAACTTCAGCCTTCGGTGGTAAGAGTGATACCGCAGGCCCATCACGTTCTTGGTTGCTCTCCGTTGTGGTGCATCTATCGCTTCTAGGTCGCGTTTCAACCAAGGTTGCCAAGCTTGGATTGCGTACTCAACTTGCGGGCGCACGTAGGAATTGAGCATCATTGGGAAGATTGATGGGTCAAATCTCCCGCATGTTGGTCGCGTGTACGTTAATCTGCACGCATGCATGCACTCACGCGAAGCCATCACCAACTGCCGGCCTAAAGAGGATAGTCACCGATTGATGCCCAGTAACTACTCAAGCAACAGTCCAAAACGACGTATCGTGGTGGGAACACGAGGCGAGTTGGGATAATGCCTAAGCAGCGGCAAAGGAGTTACAATGACGCGAAATGAATTTCAGATGTTGTTTGTGGCAAAGGATGGCGAGAGGGGTGATAAATTGTCAACGTCGCTGCGGCGCCTCATTTTATGATTTGCACACTCACAAAGTGGAAAATTGGAACAATTCAACCTTTTTTCCTGTTGGTTAGTATGTGGATATTTTATGCTGTCGTCGTTATGCATTCTGTGCACAACTACATGCATTATAAAACACCAACTTCACATTTGTTTATTCGCAAGTAAATTTATGTACACTTAAAGTTACTATTATAAAAGCACGATTTTCGCTACATTGAATTTTGTTGCTGTTTTCGTGGGAATCAAGTCATGCGTGAGTCTACACTTTGATTCAGTGATAGCATGGGAAGGAGGTTGATCCATGTTTACGTTATTGTGGGATCGTGTGTGGGATCCAGGGAATGAGTCGTACTCAGACTAGTGGTGGAAACCTTGTCTTCCGAAGTTGCCTGCTTAACGACCTGATGAACAATGTCATCTGCTCCATGGGTTGATGGCTGTGATTCAGGGGCAATTTTCGTAATGAAAGCTATCGCGACTAGTGAGACCCAACTTAGCGATTCGCAAATTTTATTGCATTTGGATCCTGATCATCAGGGGTCGTCCAAGTGTGATGAAGAGGTGTCCGACGCAGCCAAGTGTGCGATCAGCTAGACGCAGGATTTTGTGATTTGGATTGTTATCAGACATTCAGCAACATCTTTGATCCAGCATTATGGCTCATTCCATCCGGCATCAAGCCTCCTTTGATGCATTTTCGCACAGGGTTCGGTAATATTTCGTTTATAGACATTGTTATGGCGCCCTATTCGGGAGTTCTACAACTGATGCAAGGGCACTGGAACATTAGTTCACGGAAATCTGAATCGAAAGTGCCCACCGCCGAAGTGCAAGATAGATCAGTCCAACAGACCACAGGGTGTTTCAAATCTCCCAGTATTAGACGAATATTTGCAGCCTGAGTACGAATATACTCTATACTCTCGTTGGAGATACTTGCAGGACTTCGATATACCACTACAACTGTAAACTGGACAGAAGAATTGCACACAATAGTCGACAGTGCTACAACGGTTGATCCGGCGACTGGAAAATAGGTCCACAACACATCTGGCTTACGGTCACATAAAGTGCGACGCCCTCACTTTTGCAGCCAACGGAGTAATCACATGTAAGCAGTCCGTAGCCAGGTACATATACTTCACTGTCTGTGATATCCGGGGACAACGACGTTTCAGTGAAAGCAAGTACGTCAGGACAAGATTTGCCCGCAAGTGTACCCACTTCGTTTATCTTGTTCCTTAGGCTACGCATATTGCTAAACACTAACCGAAGGAACTCGGCAAGACCATCCCTGGGTCGTACGTTACCAGGAGTGGTTCTGGTAGGACATAAGTTGACTTCCGGCTGATCACCTTAAAACCCCCAATACGGGGGCTTTGCTCACCAGCCTCCTGCCCGCTGTTGAAGCTTTTGATGCCGTTACTTAACTTCAGTCGATCTGCCAGTGGAAGGTCTTGTTGAACGCTGACATCGCTACGCTTGAGTTTGAATGCAAATCGCATTAACGCTTCGTGTTTCTCCGGGGTTGAGAGGACTACACGACGTAGTCTAGACCGCAGATTTGGCGTATCGACAGGGGCATTTCCCAGTCTGGTTAACTTCCTGATAGTGACTTCTGTTAAATCAGGTGGAACCATCTTGTTGACGCAGCGATTCAACCACGGGAGGTCATCCAGCTTGCGTTCCTTGGGAAGAGCTGCCGCGGATTCAGCCATGGTACAGAAGATAATGTTGCTATCAGTAGGAGGATCACCTCAACGTGATGTATCCACTCCACGTGTCTTCCACTCGATCCCGTTTCCATCGGTTTTGAAGGTGACACAACGCGTTGCTTCGCCAAAGGAGCAGGAGTAATAGATTTTGAGACTTTGTGTTTCAACTCCAACTGCCTCACCTGTCTAGTCTTTTCAGGCTTTGCGAATTTGGCAGGTCGACACTGAGCCTTTCTTCGCCAATAAAACTGGGGTGATTGGAGTTTGAGCATTGTGTTTTACCTCCAATATCTTCATGAGTTCAGTTGCTTCATGCTTTTAGAGGGCCTTCGGGCTTTTTTTAGACCTCTTCCTCTTGTTTTAATGTGAACAGGAGCTATAATATCGGTCTCGCCTTGGACGACGTGTAATACGACATCAGAGGCCTCGTTAGGTACATTCTGGGTAGCTGGGCCACACGAAAAGTTAGTCATCACCTCAGTCGGATTCTCCCTGACAGCAGGTGAGGTTCGCTGCGTGTATTCTTCCAATGAGCCGACATCTATAGACACTCGCATTTTCTTCATCAGCAACTCCACTTTACGAGCAAGAGATGCGAGGAAAGACCACATCTGCTGGTTACCCAGCGCGGCGTTACATGATGTCTCCTCTGTGACCTCAGGACGCAGAGATCGACAGCTACGGCATAGAAAACAATGAACAACATACTATCGCAAGTCGAGAGCATTGCGTAATGGTCAGAGCTCAAATTAGGTACAAATTTCATGGTATCGTCAAGAGATAATATACAGAAATGGATAGGACTTGCGGTACACATGCAGAGGGTACACGATGTTTTCTCAGCGCCCTTAGGCTAACTGTAATACCGCACGTATATTCTCGACTTCGAGAGATAGAATAACACTATGAAGTTCAGTGAAGCGTTTAATGATCCACCGAAGGCCAGGCGAACTTCAAGCGATGATGAACACAGATATTACAATGTAAGATGTATAACAAGAACATTCTGGTTATTGTGATAGCGGCATATTTGTCACATGTCAGTAGAGGGAAGTGACAATCAGAGTGACGTAATTACCAAGCGACGACGTCATTGACAAGTGGTTCTTTCAGTTGGTGGCTTGCTAACATAGTCAGTTGGGTTGGAGCGACCAGAAAAAGCACGGATACGAAAAAGGCGTATATTACAACTGCGTACACGGGAAATCGCGTACACGGAAAGTGCGTACAAAGACAAATTCACCCACTGCGAAGTGTGCACACTATATATGGCAAACACTTGGTGTGACCAAGCTAAGTGTTATACAGTGTGCAACCTCGATATTTAAATTCTCGATTCATGAAAAATATGCAAGTAAAGTATTAAAGTGTCAGCCTCGATTTGCGCTTCGTAATCTATGCTCATTTGCTGCGACTGAAGTGGTAACTTGGTTTGTTTTAGTTCCAACGACCTAATGGAATTCTTCAGATTTCCTTCTTGCCGATTTGTTCATCTACTGTGTCGTTGTCGATATGACGGCTAACATTTGTGGAGACGCTCAATCATCTGACCAGTAGATCAGCACGATATGTAAGCAATACCCATCGCTTTCTACAAATGCTCTATGACTTACGAATGAATAATGATGCAACAAGGATATCATACCACTTCACAGTTCCGATTACCTCTGAAACTGGCGAGTGTCAATGGCGGTCATCACCGAACACTTAACAACAGTGAACAGTTGCTCGGAAACATGACGACGGAAAAGGTGCGCTAATTACTCCACTTGTGTCTGTCAACCTACCGGTGCTGGGTGTGGATGGAAGAAGTGGAGAGATGGTCAAGATATGGTCTGGTCAAGAGGAATGAAGGTAGTTAGTACGCAATTGGTCTGGGTGGAGCGTCTCAGCTCCCTGGTTGTGGTCCGAAATACGATGAAAACGTTTGGCTGGATACACTTGTTGATATGGCAAGGAACCGACCTCATTGGCGTTCAAGATGTGAGTTTTGTTTCACTCACTCTAGCGCCTAGACTCACCCTACACCACAATGTCAATTGTGATGCATAATATACTATCACTTTCTAAGGCACAATATTCGGCTGCTAGATCTCCGGA